ATGAAAACAATTTTAATTTAAAAAAATTAAAAAAAATGACCAAGATGTTGGGGAAATATTTACTACAAGTTAACTTTTTCAGATGTTTACACAATACAGGGAAACTTTCTAATGGACTCTAAAGAGTGTAAGGCATTAACGGAATTATACAAAGAAACTTTCCTCTCTCAACTTGCATTAAAATTTTTCCCTAATATGTAGTATTACAAGTCTCCAAGTGAAATCCATAGCATCCTCACAGAATGAAACTGCTGCTGACTGTGGGATTTTTAAATGGGTCTCCTGCTCACCACTGACTTGCATTTGCAGCAATTGTCTCAGTTAGCTCACTAAACCATTTTTTCCTGGACTTGCAAGTTAATGAACTCCTTATGTATGATTGGTGGAGATTGAAGTGGATTAAGGGATTTATAATGCTATTTATCTCCAAACAGGAGGAAGAGGGTTTTTTTTTCCTCCTAAAGTTGGGTCATTACAAAGTTTCCATATTATAGGGGTGTTTTCTCAATGATTATATTTTGCTCAATAACAGCTAAGAGACTATGCATTAGCCTAAGACAACATGAATCCATACTAAATTGAGATGTTTATAAAGATTCACCAATGAATGGGTTAAAAAAAGGCAAGAAAGATATTTCAAATGAATTTGAACTTATTGTGGATGGGCAAACTAATAGAATTCACAGTTAGATGTCATTATAAACAAGCCCTTTATTGTCTGTTATTGAATTTATTAATATATTTAATAAGAAAACTTAATATTTCGTATTTTAAATGTTTCTAAACTTTTCATAGGATGTCTCTAAATTTATAAGGCAAAGAAAATTTAGACATAAAAACGACATTAAATACACATTGATAAAAATAAGCCCTTTAAAATCCACATTTAAACTAAACAAAAAAGTGCAAATCAAGACTATATTCTTAACCCTGGCTGTCTTGGAACTCAGACTGTAGACCAGGCTGGCCTTGAACTCAGAAATCTGCCTCCAGAGCGCTGGGATTATAGGTGTGCACCACCGCTGTCTGGCTTAAGATTCTATTCTTATAGAAGGTCTATTATAGCCAGCAATGGATGGGCACCTGCGGCTTGAGATAAGCTCCCAGAAACTGAATTATAAGTAGAGACCAGATCAGAAGTACATATAAGGCATGGGTGAAAAAAGTGTGCTCTCAGAATTGTTGATGACTCAAAGGGGCTTTCCTGTGGCAGATATGAGAAGATGCCCGTTAAGACCGTGACTAGATACATTCATGACATGTGAGGGGAGAGGGAGCCGCATAACATCATCAATAAGAAGTTAAGCCTGAAACACCTGCTGTATCCCCAAACAGACAACCGTCCTTCCTGGTACCTAGTGCTTATGCTGCAGTAGAGATATGTTTTATATATGGTGGGGAGATAGGAGGGTAAAACCCCCTCTGACGGATCTTATCATACAAACTGAGGACTGGGCAGGAACCTAAGTAGAAAGGTACCATCACAGCATACTTCAGCTTGTCCAAAGAACACTTAAGTCTGTGCATGCAATATTAGAGATATTAATATCAAAACTCCTCAATGTGTGTCTAGTCATGAAACTTCATGCTAAAATAAAGACTCAATTCCAAGATGTCCCTAGAAGGGTCACCTGATATCTGACCAAGTTAATCCAGTCCGGACAAAGCAGACTCATCTTATTTCTTAAAGACTCCCTAACTCCCTGTATATCTTTTTCATGTTGCTGGCCTCATTTGAGGACAAAGCTGGGATATGACTGCACGGTGGTCACTGGAACACTTTCTGTGGACCAGGTATGTGAGAACAGTGAGTAGCCTCGGTTTCAGAAGAATTTAAGCCGCTAGTAAGCAGAGAAGATGAACAGGCAAATAAAGAATGGAGCTTCGCCGGTATTTGTCTTTATGGAATTTGGCCAGTGCAAAACTTGGCTTCCCTTACAAGGAGACTGTTGGCAAGTTACATCTCGTTTCCCACAAGAATTTTTGAGATGTGGGTGATAATGGTTTCAGGTGTGGCTTTGGGGGCATTTTTCCTGCGTGATAAAACTAGCCTGCATTTTATTGGATAATCTTGCCTCTTTGTTCCCTCTGGAAAACTAAAAAAATGTCAAAGCAGGTAAGATAAAGTTCAGGAGGTTTTGAGACTTTTTAAAATGAGTAAGAACATTTACAACTGGGAGGCTGAAACGCACAAAATAAAACAACGAGATAAGACACCAGTATGCGCTTGCAAAGTTGACTGTCTTTTTTAACTTTTCCAGGACAAAATCCAAAAAAGACCAGCAGCCCTGGAAGCCTTGGAGGAAGTCCCATAGGCTCTTTAAAGTCACGATGCTCAGCTAGCTTGCTGGATGCAGGGAGAGTGTGCGCTCTCAGATGCCCTGAATAGCACACTTGTGCTTTGGAATCCCAGGTTTCTGAAAGCCCTCCGGCTTTCTTCTCTTCTTTTGCAGTATTTTCCACTGAAGAAAAGGGCGGCCTGATGAAGAACTTCATTGTGTCTTACAGAGTTGACAATGTTCATTAAACACGTGAGGGAGCAATATGCCTTAGTTGGGACTGGCAGGGGCGTGTTATATGTATTATCAGACCTTGGAGGGGAAAGGAGGGATGTTGTCTTTGTTTCAGCAAAGAATGTATTTTCTGCGTCCCATAAAACAGGCAAGTAATTTTGCACATAGGGAAGTAGCCCAGGTGACCCATCAAGAGCCAAGCAGATGTCGTGAATGCGCATGCCCCGGTTGTGCTGCGGTAGAATTATATGCTTTCTCTTATCCAGTTCATTTATGTTTCTCCTAGTTGCAGTGAGAACCTCTATTTCTTAGAGTGAAACCTGTCTGGACAAGATACACTTTTCCAAAACCCAAATGTCTTTAGACTGGATTTAATGGGACACTATCTGTTCAGTTACAGTCACTGGGGGTTACTGGGTTAGGAGGCACAACCATGCTATATATGCAAATCTAGGCTGAACACAACTTCCAAGGAGGCAATGGACTCCCTAGGTCAGCGCTGGTCTCTGTCACTAAGGGATCAAATGACTAGCAGAAAAAAAAAATTCTACTTTATTTAATTAAAACACCAATGATTTTCCTATGCTTTCTTGTGAAAGCACCATTTTTAGTGATCATCAAACCAAAACAAAAAGTGCTATGCAGGAATGCACACTAAGTGTTAAAATTATTTTTTTTAGTTATAGTATCACACCCCTCCATGTTTGTGTGTGTGTGTATATGTGTGTGTGTGTGTGTGCGCGCGCGCGCGTGTGCATGCACGTGCGTGAGGTGGCTCGCATGCATGCATTCTTGGATGCATTTCTTGTGTGGGTACATGGAGACCAGAAGGGAACCTTGGGTGGCACTCCTCAGTACCTGTTTAGTTTTAATTTACTTATTTGAGACAAGGTCTTTCTCATTGATCTAGAGAGTGTCAATTAGGTTAAACTGACCAGCCAGTGAGCCCAAGGCATTTCTATTATTAGTGCTGGGACTACAAGCATGGACCACCTCTGTTTTCTTCACATGGGTTCTTGGAATGGATCTCCACTCCCCATGCTTACATAACAAACGTTTCCCTGACCAAGCTACCTCCCCAGCCCCACGTGAATTTCATAAGAAACTATTTTAATCAGTAATGAAGATCAATTTCCTAACAAAGAATTTGTAAATATTTTGGATACAAACCATTGGCTAACCACAGAGATGTCTTGGTATCCCCCTCCCTGTTTTTAGATTGGCGTTTATTCTGCTTTATACCTAATTTTAAGACTTACCCTGTTGAAACAGTGCTCATGGTTGGGTCCATAAAAATGCTGGAGACATCTCACATTGTTTTTGTTGACAATCTTGTTGAAGAATTCATTGACATATTTGATGGGGAATGCGCAGACGGCCGATCGATTCATGGGTTCAGCAGAATCTGGCTTGCTTTGTGCGAACACGCCATAGAGAATGTCATCATTCGGGCTGGCACCAATCTGCTTAGCAAGATTAGCCCCTGGCTTCCCGACATAGGCCGCTTGGAGGATGTTGAACACCTCCTCCCTTGTGGATCTCTTTCTTCTTTTCTCCGTGAGAATACACTCCAGAGGCATTTCCATGTAGGAGTGCAACCCCGAGTCTACAGAGCAGAACCTGATTATCCTCGTGTGAAAACTCTGAGCGTCTAGGGTTTCCTTTTGGACAGTCAGAAAGTAAATAAAATGTTTGCTTTCGAAGGCATGTATGTACTTTATGGGGTAGGACTCCCGGAATTCAGGTAAGACATCAATATAGGACTGGTCTGTCAAAAACTTAAAACCATCCTGGGTCTCCTTCAGCCGTCTCACCGAAATCGAATGCAATGAACGATCAGGAAGGTAGGTCGAATTGATTGTATTCCCCACAAAGAAATTGATAAACCTGTCCTTTTCAGACAGGAGGACTTTGGCTCCCAGGGCACTCACGACGCAGTCAGGACACTGATCTGACTCTTCATCCACATCTGGGGAGAACATGCAGTGAACCTCGGACTGTACGTCAGCCGGGTTGTCAGGAGGCAGGACATGCCGCTGGCAGGTACCTCTGCCGACGCTGCCACAGCTAATGAGCTGATCGTCATAGTACGTGTCGACGAGCAGAGCCATGTTGACGTTGTCTTTCCAGACGCCTCCTGAGGAATTGGCATTGCCGCTGCAGTCCTGACATGGAAAACAATCTGGGTGTTCCAACACGGGCCCCATCTGGTACTGCGATACCTTCTGAAGGTCTTGGTCATTTAGAACGTAAATGTAGTTTGTGGCTCCCAGGTAAATATGATGCCCGTGCAGAACGACATTCTGGATGGGGGTTTCTGAGGTGAAGTTGGGAAGCTGATACTTCATGTTCACATTCATCCCGGACTTCACAAGGGCCTCCTTGCACTCCCCATGGCTCCTCTGCACCAAGGTCAACAGCAGCACCAGAATGCCAGGTGAGAGCACGGTGGGGGCCTTCATTGTGAGAAGCGGATCTGCCAAGACACGTTCAAGCAAGAGCTGCTTAGTCGTCATTAGAAACAAAGAAGAAAAATGGAAGCCCTGCTCCAGCTTCGCTGGCAGAAATAACATTTCCTCATTGGAATTTTTACATAGAATGAAAACAAAAACCGCTAGCTAGCGTCTCAGAGAGATGCATTGTAGGACTGGACATGACTCCACACAGTTTAATTTTAGAAGTCACGCCACGAGCGAGTAGCTTTCAAGGGCCATTATGGGATGCAAACAATGTTCTGTGTTGAGGCCCATGCGGCAACCGAGAGCCGTTCAGCAGCTGAATAAGGAACGCAGTGCATTCTTTCTTAACCCCTAGCTGGTTGCTTATTGTGGTTTCATATCTGTGGCTAATGACTAGGTTGACACTTAAACTTTCTTGGTTAGTCAAGGAAAGGAACTGTGGTTCAGATTCATTTGTTCTAGAAATCACAGGAGGCGTTGTTTCCTCGGGAGCCTGTAGAATTACTAGGCTAAATTTAGCTTCCTTGTGGAAGAAACCAATCATAAATCCTAGAAGCAAGCGGTCACATGCTGTTTATAGGATTTTTGTGTGTGTGGAAAAGGTATGGTTATAATTGGCTATGGCTAACCTATTGTTTCAGACAGACAAATGCTTGATGCGAGATCACTAGGAACAGCTGACTGAAATATGTGAAGTCAAATTTAATCTTCAGAATTGAAGTTTTAGAACTATTTCCCAGGGGGAAAAAACAACATATTGTTCATTATCAAGTCAAAAAAGCTCTTTAGTCCCAAGAACATTATTTCAGCATTCTGGGGTATACACATGGACCAGTGTTTCTCCCAGGAAGCATGACTGGCTTGTTATTCAGGCTAAAGATGTGCAAACTCTGCTAATAATAGCTAAGGGCAGTGGTAGGCTATTGTTTTGCAAAGAGGGTACTTAGGATGAAAGCAACTAATCACCCAACACTTGTGTTTTCTGACAGGACTGAAGGGGGTTTCAAACCACATTTGGCATTACAGGTATGGCAAAGACTAACCTTGGACCTACGAAACTACATCCAATATCACCAAGCAACTAACATGTGATAGGCTCTGTGTTTACACTAAGGAAAATGGAAACATGATTCCTGCTTTTCAGTGAGCCTAAAAACCTGGCTAATAATTAACACACAGAGACTGATGACCAAACTACCTGTCACTACAGCACCCCATATAGCACAATCCCCAAGCTACAAGCATCAAGAAAAGGAGAGATGGCTTCTGTACGGGATCATAATATGAGACATAGCACACACTCCTTATGTTAGGAGGTCCATTAGGAGGACAGCCTCTGTCTGACTCATTCGTTACTGTATTCCAAGAAATGGATGCCGGGGAGCCTGGAACACAGCCGGCAATCCACAAATATATACGGGACCTGTGTGTAAATAAAAGATAAGCAGCAGGTTCAGAAACAAGAACCTGGGCCCTAACGTTTCAACTTTGGTTCTCATAAGTTTCTAGAAATTGAGAGCCTTAAAGAGATGATTGGCCAGTAACTATGGTGGCCTAGAATGAAGCAAAGGAGGGGAATCAGCAAGATGGTGGCCCCGAGAACAGAAGGAGGCAGTGAGAGGCACCATTCAGTAAGTAAGACTTGCCACCTGGCTGGACAGAAGAAAGAGGAGGTGGAGATGATCGGGAGTCATCTGGGCCGAGGTAGAATGAGCTACACAGCAGGCAGCAATAGGTAGCTGGCTGAGAGAGATGGTTTTGAAGCCTGCTGAGTATAATTAAGTGATGGGAACCGAGTAAAGGTTCTACTGTAGGAATGGCTGGAAGGGCTCACTCACTCATTTATCAGGAAGCAGATGCTTGGAAAACGTGACGAATGGAATTTCTGAGCAGACGGAACATCTATGCCAAGGAGCAGAGGTGAATAATGAAAGCTTCAGAGGAAAGCTGCCCTTATAGATGGGAACATGACTGGCTCAGGGGAGACACATCTGCTTCCGGTGACACAGTAGTAGCCGGCGGAATGAGGAAGAAATGCAAGTCCAAAACTTGGGGTACTTGGTACTTCATTTAGCACAAGAGAAATAAACTTCAGGTATATGCATAGGAGTGAGAGTTAAGACCTAAGTTGGTGTGCCTGTGGTAGGACTAGAAGGAAAAGACGTGGCCAGTGAATTATATCGGGGCAAAAACTTACATTAAAAGAACTGAGCAGAGTCAAGAAGGCATTGAGGCATCAGGAGCCACCACTGCTTCAGTGTGACAGAGGCCAGGCAAGGGTCTCAAGAAGACCACAGTCTGTATATGTGTGTAGTCGTTGACCTTCAAAAGAGTGGTTTCAATAGATTTAAAAGTAGTTTTCAATACTGTTAAGGTGTAAGGGAATATGTGTTTTGAGGAAGTAGATTGTTCACTTAAGCAAGAACTAGCAGAAGGCAACAGCAGTTGCTTGGAGTTCATTGTTAAATTAGAAAGATGTATGCTTATTTGCAAGACTTCCGCCTCTGCTAACACTGATTTGGTGCCTACGAAGACACAGTGCCTTTCTCTGGAAAGCTCATGGTTCCTTGGTAGAGGCAACGAGTGTGAGTAGAGAGGAAAGCAGACAGCAAATGAGGCTAGAATCAGTCCTCAAGGGTGAGTGAATGAAGATTCCTCACAGACAACCAGTTTTGTGCATAGAAGAGACCCAGTGGAGAGCACACGGCGTGGGAAGGACGAAAAGGGGGGCGGTGACAGGCACAAGTGAGAGACAAAGCTGATGATGCAATATTCCAAACAGGTATTTCTAAGATTCCCGGAACATCTCCGATACAACCAGAGAGGAGAAGTCACATGACAGTACAGGAACAGCGAGAGGTTCAGAAGATGATACTTCTGTGTTCTAAAAGTAAATCAGAGTGCACAGACATGTGCTTCAAGAATGGATATAGAGGAGGGACTAGGGACTTCAGCTGGATGAAGAGCCTGTAAACAGAGATCAGTAAGGAAGTAATAAAAGAACCACTCTAACAGTTCCTTTGAGCCCCAGCGCTCCTTTAAGGTAAGATACAATCAACATTCTCTGACAACCTCTTCACATTCAGGAAAGAGAAGAAACCTGGTGCAGACAGTTGAAAACACAGTGGTCTTTGGGGTTCATATGAAGGGATATGATTGAGGATACAGGCTTTGAGGTGATGTGCAGCAAAGCCAGAGTGTCACTGATGTACCAGAGAGCAAAGCAAAGCTTCAATAAGATAAATTACTGGGAGAGGTATAAGCCACAGAATCATAAAAGCAACAATAACATGCATTGTGTGCTTACCACGTGCTGGGCATTCTGTTAAACCGTCTCGTTTCTCTTCAGAAACATCCTGTGAAGAAGGAAGTATGGTTAGCCTCCTCCTCTGGATGAGCATGTCTGTCAGGAGTCACCCAGTGTGACACCCAATTCCACGCCTAGCAGAGAGCGGCCACCCTCGGACGCTTCCTCAACATGGAAGCAGCGTCCAGAAGCAGCGTCCAGAACACAGGGGTCAGAGCAGAGCAAAAGTTTCAGCATCATGTTTCCGACCCTGGCCCTTCCCTGTCTAGCCATGTGACTTAAGGCCATCCATCTACCTCTGTGGCCACTGTCCAATACCCTCATGTGATTGTTCTTAAGTATCAACAAGAGGGGAGATTTGGAAGACATATGACCATTTAAAAAATATATGTAGAAAGAATGGGAATTGAACTTACTATTTAACATATCGTTCTCAATTGTTTTGAAATATGCTAGAACATTTTGGGGGCCAATGAAAGGAAGAAGAATGAATGAATAGAAAGGATTAGGGATAAATTGTCTCACCAGTCCAGAGTATATTATATGAAACTTTAAATGTTTTCTCAACGTGACATACATCAGTATGTCTTCCAAGAATGGGAACACTGTTTCTGTGTTTTCTCCAAAAAGTATGATGTGAGGGAAATAAATGAATGCATTTTTTTCCAAAAGGAAGTCCAAACAACATTAGAATTCATTTGCATCCAAGTTGATGCCCATTAAAGCAGCACTGAGTGTGCCTGGCTTCTAATTTTTCTCTTGTGAAAGAAACTTCAAAATGATCTTTATTTTATTTTATTTTATACAATCTGAGGGATTACGTAATGTTTTAGAAATAAGGATCGTGTTCTAAGGTTGATACATATGTCACTCACTGTGCTACTGCTGAACTAGCGAGGACTCGGCATATGTACAAGGGAGCTTTTTGTTATCTCACTGGATGGGACAGCAAAGCAAAAGAAAGCCAGAAGAGAAGGATGTAATTAATCATTTAATACATTCCATTTTCTTAACCATCCCGTTAATTAAGACTAGTCTCTGTTTACAAAGCTGTATGTTGGTGAGACCAGAGTGCCAAGTGCAGACTCTGGTGCCAAATGTACAACCACATACTCTGGCCAGGTGCATTGTGGGACTCAGCCCATTTGTGAGGATGGCTCTGTGAATTTGATGATAGATGCAGGTTAGCGCAGTGCCTAGCCCCTGGTAGGTCAACAATTGTCCTATATTATCACTGTTGGTTCATAGTCCCAGAAAACATAGATGGGCATCTATAATGTGCAAGATACCAAGAAGAGGGCTGACGTTTCAAAGATGATTAAATTACTTTCCAATTGTCAGGGGGAACAGAAACTAGTAGGGGAGGCAGGCAATCACACAATAGTTTAAACTCAAGGAAAGAAGTTCAAAGAAGAGAAATGTAGCCTAGCTATGGAGTTAAATGGGCGTGGCAATCAATTATCTTTTCCTCCTTAGGAATCCATAATTTTGAGAAGCAGAACCCAGCTACAGTTGTGGCAACAAAGCTAAGCTATATGACCCAAAACAAGTCGCTCAGTTTCTTCTGCTTCAGCAGCTTCCTAATTTGTCAAATGAATTTTGAGTAGTAGCATTCTAGGGTCCCCTGGTACTGGCTTAGCACACCTATTTTGTGTGTCTCTTCTCAGTTTCTATTTCAGTGACCTTATCTTAACAACCCAAATCATCATGATGGGACTGCTACCTCATAGGAACTGGCAAATACCCCAAACTAGAGCTCTGGCCTCCCACACAGGGATGGTTCTTGACTATGTACTGGCATTCCTGAACTCAACTACTGAACTCCAAAGTATGTTCTGAGTGTAACAATTTTGATCTCAGAGACATTTTTTTTTCTACAATTACCTGTCACGCCGGTGCGACCAACTTGCCTATATTACTCTTGCTTCCCAGCTCTGTGCCAGACCTGGCTATGCCTGAAATTGTAGTGGTTATAATGGTAGTGACTCCAGACACACTCACTTCCCATCTGTTTTCGTCTTGACACATTTATTCCTGTGATGTCTCTGAATGAGACTTTCAACCCAGAATGCCTTTTCACCACTTCTGCCCCATTTTTTTTCTTTTGGAAATAACGCTGGTCATTTCACTCTTTTTTAATTAAATGGAACATATAAAGATGATTCAAACAGACTGACTAATTCATTCTCCTGAAGTCTGGCACACAGCAGATGGCACTGAGTCACCTATAAAGCATCTCTTTAGATCTCTGCCGTTGGCAGCAAGGATACTCTCACTAAACAAGCATTTCCTGTCAATGAGCACCCCGGTGCCATCTTGGTCATAAACCTGGGGCATTTATGAATCCTTACGTTAGAGACAGCCTGTTAACTATGAATTCAGGCTCCGCCCAACCTTCCCAGTGGCCATTCAACTCTTCTCGGCCACTTCTCGGCTTCCGAGTTTTCGCATGAAAATACCTTGCATTGGTCATGTCCTCCCTCCCAAACCTAGCAATGGGGTGGGTTCTCAGGCTTTTGTCGAGTAGCACCTGTGCCGCTCAGCCACTGTACCAGCAAGAAGCATAGTGTTCTCCTCAAAGATTGATTCCTTGGGGACAATCACAGCAGGCACAATGAGACACTTCTTAAAGAGGAAGACTTTGTAAACTTTGGCACAATTAACTTTGCTTTAGGAACTGATTCTTCTCAAAAGTCCCGGTGATGTAGAGCTATGTTGAAAACACTTTCCAGTTTGTGAGATACACTCAGTTATACCATCTTTTCTAGTTGGTACATATAAGATAAACATTATTCTCATTTTGTTTCAGATGACATATATGTTTAAAGAGAATAAAATGTTAGCTAAATGCACACAAAAAAACCAAGGTCTCAAAAAAAAAAAAAAACAAAAAAACAAAAACAAAAAAAAACCCCAACAAACCCAAGGTCTCTTTGGTATTTCTAATTTTTAAAATATCTGATGCTTATTTGAAATGTTTCTCTTTAGTAGCATTTCTAGGGCAAAGATTTCATTCAGAAGACGCAGAAACACTTATTTACACCTGCTTAGCACCCACTATTTCTTCCCCAGAAGCTTTTTTGAGAACTCTCTCTGCCCCGTCTACTGAGACTGCCTACCAATCATATTGCTTAAGTCTCACTGCAGGGAGAGTATGCGCACCAGACTGGCTTTTCGAGGAGCTCTACTCCTCTGAGCCAGTGCTCTGTCAGGGTGCACACGTGACCAAAGCAAGGACAACCAAATGGATGCTGGCAGAGAATGGCTCATGTTCAGAGATTCCAGACATTCAGATGATACCTCCTGCGGCTTTCTGAGGGCCATCTTTGCTGCCATGTTGGCCAAGCTAGCCAGAGTTGAAGTTGATGCTGTGGGCAGAGGAGCTCAGACTTGGAGAGAGGAAGGTTCTCACTGTCATTTGGCAATCTGAATCCCACCATAGTTTAAGCTTATAAGAGCCAACGAAATTGTTTCCTTCCTTCTTCCTTTTTGTCAGCCATTTAATAATGATCCCTTTACTCCGTGCAAACCACAAGCAAATAATATCCAGGAAAAAAATATGAACTTGTGAGTTCATAACACAGGTCAAACGCAAAAAAAAAAAAACAAAAAAAACCCCAAAAAACCAAAAACCTCAACTTTACAGGAAATGGAAAAGATCAGACATGCTCAGTATGGTACATAAAATATTCAAATAAAGTGGAACAAAATATTTTCTTTGTGTTTTTCAACAATTACTTGTAAATATTTCACTTGACACCTGGGAATATATTCATTAACTGAGATTCTTGAGGTGGTTTACCGTTTTATTTCTTTCTCCTATTGTATATTTCTGAAGTCATTTATAACATTTAGCATAAACTCAAGATGAAAATAATGTACCTAAGTGGTGAGTTAAAATAAAAAATTATAAAAGATTTCAACAGTACATTTGAGTGTAAAAGGGAATTTATAATTCTGGAAAATGGCGGAGATGCCATATTGAGGAAGCTAAACCAAAAAAACCAGTCACTGCCACATATAAGGGGGCTTGCAAGAACGATATTCCAAGGAAAATTCTTAGATCTCTCTACATTACACCCTTTCCATTAACTTTGAAAGTAGGAGAGGTAGAACTACACCTTTAAGATGGTCCCGCAGGTAAGAAACTTGGCATGCAGGCATATGAGACCCTAGGAGAGTCCATGGAACTCACATGAAGTGCTGAAGTAACGTGCATGTCTGTAATTACCAGAGCCTCTGCTGCAAGAAAGGAAGTGGAACCTGGAGACTATTCTGAAGTGGGTGACCAGCTAGCCTGGGATACACAGTGATGAACAACAGAGACCCTCTTCAAAGAAGAGCGAAGATTAGGATCAATTCCAGGGTTGGCTGCCAACCTCTGCGTGATCATCATGCATGAGCCTGCTTCACCAGATAAGAAAAGGTAGGACCGTAATAATCAAGTCACTAGAAACTAGAAAGTTTCTGACGACATTTCTAGTCCTGGATTTGTAAAGAGCCACAGTACACGGTGGTACACAATATGGAACAGATCTTTGAGAGCATCCGTTACATGATGAGCAGAAGTCTGGATACTGAGAACTTCTGTTGGCTTGAAGACAGCGAGATAAACTCTATACCTTAAGCCTGTAGCCTAAATTAAAACATAAATGAAAACACAGGACTGTTAAGAAAGCAAAGTTTACCTGTGAGTTCAAGGTCAACCTGATCTACAATAACTAGTTCTAGGACAGGCTCCAAAACTACAGAGAAATCCTATCTCAAAAAAACAAGCAAACATACAAAAACCAAAAACAAACAAACAAAAACAAAAGAGAATGAAAAAGAAAAAAAGGAAGCAAAATTTACAATCTTTTTTTTTTTCTGGATTTTCCCCCTATGCCTCCATATTAACCATGGTCTACATAATAATAAAGACAATATACCACATCAAAATCTTTTTCAATGCAGTTAGATCCTTCCTCCCCCCACCCCCACCTACTCTTTTCTTTCCTCCCTTCTCCTCCCCCTTTTACTTTTCCATCTTCTCCACACAAGGCCTTTACCATGCTAGGCAACTGGTCTACCAGAGAGTTACATCCCAAGTCCAAGAGCCTCTCACAGCTCTCACAACTGCAATTTCCAATGGTGGGTTAAAGGGACAGAAGGAAGCATCCAGACTCTTCAGCCCATCCAACTGCTCTTTTGTATGACCATATTTAAATAATCCAGAGTTCCCACAAGACAGGCTTATTTTTAACATATATAGATTAATTGGTTCTAGAGTACCTTTCTGGCACTCTACTTAGAACTCTGGCACATAGAACTTTCTGGAAAAGAGGCGGGATGTGGTGGAGGGAGTGGGAGGAGGCTTAGGCCATAGGTCGATATGAATGTGCTTTACCCCTTCATAGAGACTGGCCTTAGGGTCAGACTCTTGTTTCTACCTTGTGGGCTGGCCACAAAGGTCTTAAATTATGGGATACACTGGCTTTCATTTATGCAGCACACGCTGACATTGAATAAATGCAACACCCAAGCTGCTTGTTACCCCGAACCGTGCGTTAGCCAGTTCACCTTGCTCTCCACAGAAATGAGGAAGTTGGCCAGTGCTCTGGGGAAGAGCACTCCGAATACCTGCCTAGTGTTTCATTCCTTTATTTCTCTCTACAGTTTAAATAGAGCTATTTGTTATTTCCCCACCCTTGGCCATCTTGTGGTTTTCCTCTAACTCACTTTCAAGTTCTTGAAACCCTTAAAGTTCTTCCAAGGCAGAGGCCGCAGTAAGGGCCAAACAGGAACCATTAGTTTAAAGAGTAAGCCCATATCCCCACAGAGATTTAGGAAGTGAAGGTGTAGGAGACCCAGTTAACTTCGAATCTCAAATACGGGGTTCTTTTTTTAGTGTAAATATGTTCCAGGAATGCATTCAAACGACAATCCTAGTCGTAAGTGGAAAGAGAAAAATAAGGGAGGGATCACCTTCTGGAAAAAACAGAACTTGGAATGAAGAGACTTGGATGGAATCTATTTATCTTGGGAGTCAAACTATTTTCTGTCTTGTGCTTGCCTGCTTTCTTATTTTCCTTAGTCCCTCCTTATTTATTATTGATTGATTTATTTATACTGGGATTTGAACCAAATGCCTTAGTAGGCAAGTGCTCTACTATGTAGCTATATCCCTAGCCCTGTATTTGCTAAAACAGTCTTGCTGAACTTTCTCTGTGGTCCAGGCATACCTTAAATTTAGGATCTTTCTATTCCAGCTTCCTTAGTATTGAGGAGTAAGGCATGCATTACTGGGCTTGATTCAATGTTTTTTTTTAAGGATCTGTTTCCCAAACACACACACACACACACACACACATCTATCTATCTATCTATCTATCTATCTATCTATCTATCTATCTATCTATCTATCTATCTATCTTTGTAAACTGTGCACCATTTCTTATTTTTATCTTGGTTTTGTTCTTGTTATATATCTAAAACATTGTTTTAAATGTGATTTGTAAGTTCAAGTGATTTTAAATACATATAAAGGTGTAACAGTCAAAGGGCATAAACATTTTTTTTCTAGAAAAAAAGTTATACTGAAGATAGCAACTTGCACATTCCATGAAATTTCATAAAAGATCTAGATCTGCATATTTATTAAAGATTCAGATACAGATGGCGATAGAAGAACATGCTAAACTTAGCACTACAATAATGTACATGTGTTACAATGAATGGACTAGGGGAGGCCCTAAGCACTTGCGTGGCATCACACAAACGTTTCTTTAAAGACTTATAGTACTTCTGTTCTCCTTCTTATGTAGCTATCTCAGTCTTTCTCCTGACCATCATATTGAAAATGACAGACATTTAGCCTAACAAAAAGCGAATTGTGCATTTTCCACTTTCAATGTATGATTACGATCTTTGTTCAGGCCTGATATGGCAAGAGTAAAGATTAAGAGAACAGAATTCATTCTAGCCTCAAGATTTTTGTCTCATAAACTCATAAACTGTTAGCAAACATCTTTGTTCTTTTAAGAATGGCTGAAAACATCCAACTTCTGGGAAAAAAGAATAAATGGACATTTGTTTTACTATTGTGCACGTTGCAAAAATAAAATACCATTCAGAGCATTCATTGAACTGTCAGAGTTCTGATTGATGGACAGGCATTTACCCCATTTTAATAAATGGTAGCTCATACAAGAACATTTCGCTATCCTTGGAAATGGGGAGGTTGAACTCCCCCATTGTTAAGACCATACTAAAAGGCCTGAAATCAGAAGCAGATTTTTATTCAGCCTAATAGATGAATGAATGGGAGTTTGTGTAGACTTTCTACCAGATTTTGTTCAATTAAGCCGGGAACACTGAATAAAATAAATTCACAGATTACATCTTTCTACATGCAAGTTAAAATAAACCAAGCTCAGCAACCCTTTCCTGCTCCATTCATCCGCAGAGTTTGGAAAGCATGAACCTGACTGGGCAGTCAGAACGGGAGTCGAGAGGGAGACACATCCAGAGAAGAGGAAGCTGCTACATTGCTCACTGGTGAATCAGACATCCCCTCCTGTCTGCGGGTGGAGGTGGAAAATGTCCTGGGCATAAGGCATGTTCTGGTTCCAAATGGGGGATCCGTGCTCAGGAGTGGGTTAATCCGTGTCTTTCCTCTCTCCCTTTCCTCCCTCCATTATCTTTGGAATGAGACAAGGTCTTGTATGTTGTTTAGGCTGGTCTCAAAGGGTCTTCTTTTTGTCTCTGCTTCCTAGTGCTAGGCTTAAAGGCAGGTTACACTACTGACGGGTCCATTTCCTCTGGGTTGGCACAAGGCAAACACTAAACAGCTGCGCAGGGAAATAGGCAGTGAGTAGGTCCATTTTTGTCATGGTGGCTGCGCCATAAGGAGAGAAACCACTACCTAGCAAGAAAGGGGACACAAGGTGTCACACCGGGTGGACATTTCTTTCTAGGACTCTTTTCACTTGGTTCTCAACTCCATTTGGCTCACGTCTGAGAACATCTAGGATGCTGACGCTAGCAAGCCACCTCTGAAACCGAATGAGTGACGTCTCCCTTTTGAAGCTGAATTATACAAAAATTTCTTCACTAGGCAAAGTAGAGATTGTGGTACTACTGTGAATGAATGGAATTACCAGACTTGGCTGTTATTTTCCACAGGTGAGGATTTTCATGGGTGAAAATAATGCAATTACGTGTGTGATCAATATATCATCAGAAAATGAAGAACTAAGCACATTTTCTACGAAATAAAAATTAAATACCTTTAAATGAACAGAGAATGGGAAGTGAGTCAAACCCTATGAAAATAGGACAGAGCAGAAAGGTAAGTATAGGACCCCATTTCTAACATTCAGTAAACACCCTGAATGCTTGAAAAAAAAAATCAATAAACCTAAAGGTTAGGACAACATAAAAACAACTGTGCTCAGCATTGCATTTATATAACTGATCAATGGAAGAGAAAACAGCTCAGTACTGTGTGTGTGTGTGTGTGTATGTGTGTGTACTTACACACAGGCTCCTGTTTCTGTGTAAGATGTATGTTTGAGGAAAAGGAAGTGTAAGAAGAGGGAATGGTCTTTTTAAATGACCCTTTTCACTTAAAGAATCACTGCCCAGAGGACTAGGTGCCCTCTTCCCCACCTATAACATGAACACTCCTGGTTGGTACCCCCAGCTATTTAGTCCCAGAGAAATATCATACATAGGTCTCCATAAATTATAAGCTGATTGGCCCATTAGCTCTAGCCTCTTACTGGCTAACTCTCACATCTTGATTAATCCATTTTTCTGATCTATGTTAGCCATGTGGCTCAGTACCTTTTTTCAGTGGTTGCAGATCACATCCTGCTGCTTCAGTGGTCTGGGCAGGAGTGGGAGGAATCAACTTCCTCCTTCCCAGAATTCTCCTGTTCTCATTACATCATTTCTACTTCCTGTCTGGTTTTCCGCCTATATTTCCTGCCTGGCCAATCAGCGTTTATTTAAAACATGATTGACAGATTACAGACAATTCTCCCACACCACCCACCCACTTCTAGCAGTGCTGTCATAAGAGGAACACAAAGAGAAGGGACACTAAAGACATCCCAGAAAGCAGGAATGGCTTAAACTAGGTCTTAGGACAGCTAAGCTAGATGCAGACACTTTGAGGACAAGGGACATAGCTTTTCTAATACAGTAGTAGAGAGGCTGGGTGGGAGGGGCTCACATGGTTGAAACTGTCAAATCACATTCACAGAAAGCCTCGTGCATTCTGTTGAAGGCTCTGCATTCTATGTGTTGTTGGAAACCAATGGATATGGAAGTTAGTAGAAACATCCCATTTTGGTGAGCATGGGGTGAGCAGACAGAAGTGGGAAGGAGACAAAGGCTGTAAAACAGTGCAGAGGGTCATTCAACCATCTAGGCACAGTGTTGTGGGATATTTGTACATTGTGTGAAGATGTATTTTCTGTGATTGGTGTAATAAAAAGTTGAACGACCAATAGCTAGGCAGGAGGGAGGGAGGGGGGGGAGAGAGAGAGAGAGAGAGAGAGAGAGAGAGAAGAAGAGGAGGAAGAGGAAGAAGAAGAAGAGGAAGAAGAAGGCTGGAGAGAGACACTAGGAGACAGGAAGGAAACAGGATGGGCAGTACATGACAGAACATAGACTATTAAAAATAGGTTAATTTAAGTTATAAGAGCTAGTTAAAAACAAGTATAAGCTAAGGTCAAGCTTTTATAAATGAATAAATCTCTGTGTTGTTATTTGCAGGCTGGTGGTGCTGATGAGAAAGGTTGCTTCAGCACAAGGATGAGGATCAAGGAGAAAAAAGTGGGGACTCCCTAGTTCAGTATTGTTTGACCTTCATGAGCAGAGAGTATAAAAATCCATCTCTCTGCATTAGTTCTGTCTATCAACAACTACTCAGCCTGAATTCAGCACATGTTCATCAGGCCCTACTATGCTTGAAATACATCAGGAAGCAGACACACACTCCAGTTCTTTTGGGAAGCACTTACTAGCAGGGGCAATACATAAGCAGGCAGGATGTAGAGTATATTAGAAGTTGACAGCGTCTGGAGATCTGAACTGTCTCAAGGGAGGGTACAGGGAGAAGTCTGTGGCTTTGAAAATCTGTGGAGGTGACTTTTGAGAAAAAGGTCGAGGGAGGGAGAACTCAGACAAATGGCATGTGGAAAGAGATTTCTGAGTAGGGGTAAGAAGAATGGAATCCCTTTGAATGTGTGAAGGAAGACCGCCCATGGCAGGGGTTAACGTGGCCTAAGGGGAGGCACTGAAGCCAGCGGAAGACTGCTGACGTGGTCCCACCTGATGGACTGGCCTGGGCTACAAGGAAATAAGGAGTTTCCTTCGGGCTGAAATGGCTGAACTGTGGCTGTATTTTGATGATAGAGAGAATGGAATTAAAATATCAGGTGTGTGGTTTAAAAGGGAATTAAAACTAAAGATTTTATAATAAGGAAAATGGTCTTCCCAATTGAAGATACGGTGATGCAAAGGGTTAGCACAACCAGTGGGGTTTACGACCAGGAATTTTGAAGACCAGGGGATGTGAAGAAACCAGTTTGGTTGTATTCACAGTTGATGTACAGCTTACACAGTCAAGAGTTGTTAGGCATGTGGTGAAATATTTGGTTCTTAGAATGAAGAATAAAGGTCTAGAACAAAGACTTAAATTAAGAAGCAATCAGCATGTAGGTAGTGTGGAAAGATAGGAAGTTGGGTGAGATCACCATGATGGTTAATCTTCAGGGTCCATTTGACTGGGTTTGGAATCACCTAGGAGATGCACCTCTGGATATGTCTGAGAGCATGTTTCCAGAAAGATCTACCTCAAATGTGTTACAGATTAAACAGAAAGGAAAAGGGGAGCAAGCAAGTTATGCACTGGCATTCAAGGCTTTTTGCTTCTTGATTACGGACACAATGTGACAATCGATCAGTCTCATGTTCTACCACCATGCTTTCTTTGCCCTGATGGGCTATTTTGTTGCAGACCACCAACCACCAACCAAAACAATCCCCTTCTCCTGAGAGAACCAGGCAGGCTTCAGCAGAACTGCAGCCATATAGCACAAGGACCTGAGCAGACTTTGAGACCAACACTCCCTTAAGTTGCTTCTTGTTATGCAGTTTGTTACAACAACAAATAAAGAATTAATACAACCTAAAAGGAAAAGAAAAGAGAGGACAAGAAGTGTAGAAGCGAGGGCTGGAGCCAACAAAGCTAACAGGCTGGAAGAGCAGGAGGAGTAAGTGGAGCCAAAAGAACAGATGGAGATCCTTGTGGAACCTGTACTCGCTCTCCGGACACCTGCTCTCCCACCGGCATCTTATCTGTGCCTCACATCTCCCACATTCCCACATCGTCATCGTATTGGACTCCCGTTTGCAGGAATGGCAGACATGCCTGTCTCATTGCTCAGTGTCACCTCTTACCTGTACTGCTACAGTTTTCTACCTGGTTTCCCCTCTCCACCCTTGTCTTCATCATATGCTCTCCAAAGCACAAGAGACATTTTTTCTTCCTGGATGGAAAATCTGATTATGCTGTTTCTGAACTGAACAAAGAGTCACTGCCTTAGGAAATCTTGAAAGACACACGTGATCTCCCCAGACTTACTACTGCAATTGCTGGACTAACCATTCGATTCTGAGTTTTTAAAGCAAGCTATGTACTCTCCCACTTTGGGTGTTGGCGTATGTGGGTTTTCTTTATGGAGCAGTCTTTAGTTGCTTCACCCGGATAACTCTCGGTCTCGCCTTAGGAGATTTGTCTGGAAAATTTTGATGCCTCTCTCGTCTTCCAGAGGGAAACAGGGACTCTCTCAGGTGCCTTCCTCTCATCTTGCCCTCAACACACTGCATTGCAATGTGTGTTTCTTACTAGCCCGGGAACGTGGCTGTCAACTACTAAATTATTGTCATTACATGGCACTTAGTAAACACATATGACAAAAGAAATAAATGAAATTAAGTTAATATCTGAAAGAATGATCGCAAACAGAGTTCATAAATTTAGGTCGAAAGTGATGACAGGACTAGGAAGATACTAAGAAGAGAGAGAACACTTATGTGCTGATGATTCAGCAAAGTTGTTGATCATAAGAGAGACTGAGACTTCAAGATAGTTTAATTACTACCTCAAAGACACCTTCCAAAGTGAGATGGTAGTCTAAGTAAAAGACCTCGGAGTCAAAGACAGAAATTTGTGTTCCATTGGTTCATCTGAACTACAAAAGCTGTCGTCTTCATTGTTTCAGAGCAATGCATTTAAACTTTATGCAGGATAAACACCCATAATTTAAAAACCAAGAATGTAATGTCCTCTAATGTCTGTCATCTTTTGAGTACCTGCACGCCTAAAAAGTTGTGAGTTCTGAAGCATTTTTTAATTTTGGATATTTATTATGGCCTATGCTTTCTATTCTAGAATCTGCGTGATGGAAAAAAACTCTAAAATTTGAAACTTTTCTGACCCCAGCATTTCAGACAGGGGCTAGCATTGCCTTAATTGCAAAGGTATAAAGAAAAGTAGTAAACAAAGGAAACACGGAGACACAAGAGGCTGAGTTTGGATGGGTTTTGTGAAGAAGAGGGGGTGGGGTGGGGGGAGAAATTAGACATACATCGTGGATCAGAGTGTATTCCACAGGGGGAGACAGTGGGAATAAAACAAATGTCCATTATCTTTGGCAACAAGGAGACTTTCTTGGTATATGAAGGTGACTACTTGAATCAAATGAGTTAGGCAATTAATAGGAAAAAAGTAAGCAGAGAAAACAGGTTAGGCATACATTTTCAAGAACTCTTACTGAAAAGATAAGACAAATCCGAGCAACTTCTTAGGCAACTGTGTATTTAAGATCCTATCAGCACGCCTTGCATCTGTGTTTTCTTTCTTTCTTGAAGAGGCAGCTGGTTGCTTAAGGGCTGAATGAAAAAAATGGTTTAGGGAGAGTTTAAAGATGGGAGGGCAGGAGCAAAAACGAGGGCAGGGCAGGCAGAACAATCAAAGATGCTGGAGAGACGGAGATCAGGATCACAGGTTGGAAAGACCACTTCACTCTCTGAGACATACCCAAGGAGGTCAAAATGAGTGACATGGAGACCAAATGGGCTTCTGCTACTCTCTACGTCTGAAAGGAGACCTTACATCGAGAATAAAGAAAGCCAAAGGCAGCTGAGAGCTTGAGAAAATGGTGAGAGTTTGAGTCTTTGCAGTGGGCCTGGGGAAAGATGGAAGAGAGATCTATAGGGAAGGGACTCACTGTGAACGGGTCAAAGATGGAAGGACCAAGAACGAAACTATGTCTCATGATTCTCCCATCTTAAAGCACGTAGTGCCTGTTCCCATTGAGCTTCTACAGAGAGAGCAGGCTGAGTTGAGGAGCAGATGGCTACACGATTATGACCTCTGCAGCAAATTCCTCTTAATGTTTACATAATTCATCAGATCTATGGGCCTTTATTAAGAGGAAATGCCAGGTTCTGATTATTATTATTTTAGAACGAGATTTATTGAAATCTGGAAGAAATAACTTCTGGGGAAAGAAAACACATCAAAACAGATACTCTTCTCTCTTCAATAAAGCCAATGACATAAAGATGTTGAAGAAATGAATCAGATATAATGATCATCTAACTCTGAAAAGCGAAACCCTTTTAGGAACTGTGAGGGAGCGTTGGTCCTGAATTCCAGTCTAGTTATTCACTAAGAATGTTTAGTCGTAGTTGGAAAGCAATTAATCATCTTACCGTACAGATCCAAGGGCTGCCACCTTTCAGTGCCTTTAGTGAAACTGCCTGGGATTTTATCTGTACTTTTCTGGTGACTTAAAGAGCACTTTTAAAAAGCTCCATAAAGACCTGAAGAGTGCTTAAAAGTCAATGGGCCTTGACACACAGATCGAAAGGGACAATCTATGTGCTAGTCAGACTGAAATAAAATTGACAAGTCTCTTAATTTTGACATGACAGAGAAGCAGTTTTAAGAAGTCTAAAATGCATATTCATTTCTGCTTGAAGCTCTTCCCCCGTCAACCAACAATAGCTAACGAATGTTTAAACCTAAAGACTCTTCTAGCTCTTAAATGATATACGCTTGTTTGCTGTCCTTGTGTTAGCCAGATAGTGTGTAAACCACAGGCTCTCTTTGGACTTTGTGGCTTCCACTTGGAGGTAGGTGGAAAGAGAGGGTCATGCCCAAACGTGAAGCCAGGTCAGGTGACAGCTGCCTAGTTTACAGTCTCAGATGAACAAAAATACAGGAAGCAAAGACAAAAAGACAGGAAGTAATGTATGTTCCTCAAATCTTTAGATCAAGGTCTAAGTTTATTCAAAATATGAACTTTTAATTCCAGATTCACTCTAGCGTGGATTCCATTGTAGTGAACATCCCAAGAAAGGCTTCAAGATACATCCTCACAGGAAGCTAATTCATTCCCACAACAGAGAGTTTTCAGTGGAAAATGATTACTGATACAGTTCTTAAGACCATAGCTTTTGTTCACAGTAATAATTCTTATATTGTAGTGATTATGTATGATAGAAAAAAATTTTCTATGAAAACGGAACAAAAAGCTGACACACTTGTTGGGTTTAATGTCACAACTGTCTCTGAAAAGAGCACTTGACCCAGTGTACGAGGGCTGGCTGCAGAGGGCTTAGACCATGCCACTGATAATAAAAGCTGTGTTTCTGCCTTACATTCCTGCGATTCCCACCAGTAGACAAAGACAGGATAAACTTAGAGGCCGGTTTACATCTGGATAGTTATATTACTAAGCTTTGCAATGAATTTTGGGAGGCAGCCGGCTTTACAGAGCAAAGGTTTACTCGGCTCATAGCTTTGGAGCCTCATGGGCAGGAATTCATGGTGCGCAGCAGATGGCAATGGCCAGGGTATATGAAGCTGCGTGCTCACATCTGGAGCCAGGGATCAAGGGCTAGTGGCTCCAGTGTGCAACACATTTCCTCCTGCTAGCCACCTTTTAAAGATTTCCGCCACCTCCACTTGTTTACACCTTATCCATGGGCTTCTTTGGTGACGCAGCCATATTCAAACAACAATACAACCGATAGTCTCCCTTCTGTAATAAGTAAAGCGTGTGTGATGGAAGAGAAGGGGAGCTTAGGTTTTGCCCACAGCCTGACTTGTGTGTGTATGCACGCGCACATGCGCGAGGCTTCCATTGCTGATTTCCCACTTTGAGCCTCCTCTTTCCCATTTAGGATGAAGGCAACAATCCAACAGTGGGCTACGGAACCTTACAAAGTGTTCGGAAGAAGGAATACAAATGGTTATGAAATATTTTTGATAAATCCTCATTATATTTAGCCATCTCTAAAGCATTAAATGTTCTTTGAGATTTCATCTTACCCCAGCCAGAAAGGCTAAGATTAAGGAAACTAAAGACAATGAGTGCTGGCAAGGCTGTGGGAAAGGAGAACGTTCACGCGCTACTGTGAAAGGGAAAACTGAGGGAGCTGCTGTGGACCTTAGTGCAGCAGCAGCTCTGCTATTTGACCTGGCTGTACCACTTCCAGGCGTCTATCAAAAGGGCCCTACTGCCTGCTGCAAAGATACCTGCTCATTCGTGGCCGCGGTCGCTTTACTCACAGTGTCTGGAACATGACAACAGCCGACATGTCTATCAAATGATGAAGGAGTGATGAAATGTGAAGCCTGTATTAAAATGGAATTTTCTTTAGCTAGGAAGGAAAATGAAATGATGAAATTTTGCAGGTAAACGCGTGGATCTGGAAAACAGAATACGGAATGAGGTAACCTAGAAAGGCAAATGCTGCATGCTCTCACCGATACGTGGACTCTAGTGTCAAATCTTTAGATGTCTGTGTTGAATTTAGAATACCTATCTAATAAGGAAACAAGAAAGGGACTGTTGATGGGAAGGGCAAAGAAAGATCCCAAGGGAGATCGTTCTAACAGAACAGAGACCATATGGAGGGGGAAAGGGTTAACAATGGGGAGGGAGTTTTAAGTGGAGAGAGGGGTGGGAGGGTAGAGCAGGAGAGGGCAGTGGGGTGGGGCAAACAACACTGGGGATGTTTGACACAGCCATGTAGAAATGTATTTTATAGGTTTCATAGTACATGTATGTATTCATATAACAAGGTTGTTGGAGCTGCGCAGCAGATCATGCACATCCCAGAAGACGTATGTTGTCAAACAGAAATCCCAGTGCCAGGTATGAGATACCTCCCCTTGTATTGTTGGTCAGAGAAGTCCCAAAGACTCCAAAATAATTATGATTACTGTCATTACTTTTGGTTGGGGAAGAAAATCATCATCAGAGTTCCCCATCTGCGAACCCTGTGGGCCACAACAGTGACCAGCAAGATAGAGTCATGAGCACAATGCATGTTCCAGGAGTAAACAACTGCTTTCTAATTGCATTGAAGGCTCACTCTAGAGGAGAAAACACATGCCTGCTAACTGCAGGTCTGGCCAAGAACCCGTGGCTGTGGACCCTTCACCCTGTGAAGCCTCAACCCCTGAACCAACTGCTATCATTTTTAATAAATGGTCATAGTATCAAATTTCCCTCTAAATTGACATCTCTCTACCTATGGATTAGTTGAGTGGATGGTGGCTAATAACACAACACAATCATCCAAAGTGCCTAAGAAGTGCCCAGCCACAAACAGGACATCGATACCACACCCCTATCCTAAGGCTCAGGAACCGCAGTGGAAGACTACGTGAAATATTCTAAGAGCCAGAGGTGGGGAGCACCAGAACAAAACAGTCTCCTCTGGACATGAGAGGACACTAGACTCAGGAGCTCAGAACAGTTATGGTTGTCTGCAGAAGACCAAGCCAGTCGTTCTAGATGGAGAAGGAGGGGGCCTATGTGCTCCATTCCTAGCCAGAAGGGCTATGACCAGTTCACAGGCTCTGGGAGAAGAAGAGTCCATTTTCTTTAAGGGTCTGGCTTCTAGTAGGCTGATACCACACGTCAGAATTGGTGGGCTGTTAGATTTTTTATTTTTTTTTTGAAAGAAAGGACATGAAGTAGGGTATGAAGAGGCGGAAGTGGATCTGTAAGGCGTTAAGGGGAAGAATTGGGGCTGAACGTGGTTAAAATACATTGAAATGATCAAGAATAAAAATTCCTTTGCAGGAAAGGCAAGCGAGCAGGCAGCTGGGTCCTCGTTGGATGCTGACTTACAGTGCACCTTGACCCTTCAAGTGTTTTCCTATCATTCACCTCTGTTTTCTCACTGACCCAATACCCATCAAAACCTTCAGGTAGTATTGATTTTCTGTGTCTGTGGCATAAAAGTTACCACAAAAAAATGTCTTGAACTGAACAATTTTACATATTCTCTCCAAGGAACTTCCTTCATTTATCAAGCTCTAAGATCTTTTAACTGGAATTTTAAAACGCTTGCAACACAGTTGTGTAAAACAAAAAGAAAAATAAAACACATCGTTTTTAATTAATGATTAAGCCGCCAAGCACAAAAACATCAGAGTATTCTAAGCCATATAAATAAGTTGCTCATTCTACAGAGTTATCTGTAATGAAATGTCAAAACAAGACTTACTGATGACGTTTGGATGCAGTGACCCTTCAGAGTCAACAAAAAGAAATCTATAATTGTAGTAACATAACTCCCCCCTTTTTCCCATCTCCCCCAATATAAGAAATGACCAAACGTTGCTACTTCACATGTTGCATATGAGGAAGGGTTTCTGAGGATAAGATTCAATGGGCAATTAGAAACCTAAGTCTGGCATCAATACCAACCACATGGCCCGTTCCAGTTCTGCGCCCCCCCCTCTCTGCAAAGCAACCATGCATTCTATAAATTTGCATTTCAACTGCATGGAAAGCAGCACGCTTGTGTTGAGCCCAGCTGGGAAGTAGAGTCAGCAGATATCACACACAAACAGGAAATCTAGCTACCAGCAAGAAGGTGTTTTTCTCCACACAATGGAGTTCAATGTTATTTGGAGTGAAACCCAAGGGCACCATTACCATTGGGCACCCCTCATACCCTTGTACATGATAGTAGTTTATACCTATAGTGTATGTTTCCTAAGCCTATTTGAACTCGCTGCTATTCCTAGGCATACGTACACCTTCTCCTTTCTGGGCAAAGCTTTCAATCAGCAAGTGTGTCAAGGTGGGTGGAAGGAAGACAGGAATAGTAAAAGAGGGAAAATCAATTTTCAGAAAGCATATGGCAACAACAGAATATTTAATCAAATTAGCCTAGAAATTCCTTCCTATTTTCAGAACTCTTTGCAAGGCAGTTGCTTCATGGTACAAAATGAATTTCAATAAATGTCATATATTTAGTTAGATGGCTTATGTTTGAAAGTTGCCGAAACAGGTCAACGCACTCAGAATAGATCTTGTTCTAAGACATGACAGATGAATATTGATATTGAATATAAAGATTGGCATTAGGTAAAAGGTTCCGGGCTGAAGAAAGCCA